TATATTCCCTGAACATGTAGCAGCTATACGGAGAGAAGAATGAGTCAGGATGGGCCTGGTGGGAAGGAAAACACTAACAGAAATTGGTTATAGGTAATTCACAAAATGGGATAATCCCTAAGAGGCTGGTGGAGTTGACTCTCCTCTTCCCAGACAGTTTTCACATTGCTGCCAAAATGACAGCTGCCACAGAACACCTGCCATCAGGGGCAGCAGCTTAAATTAGTCCGACTCAGGCAACTCCAAAAAACTTCTACCAAGTCCCATTAGAAGGGCACACCAGGTGACAGATGATGTGGCTAAAACTGCTGCACTCAGCCCTCAAAGAGCTTATCATCAGTTTACCCACTGACCTCGCCCTGGCCTTCCAAATCACCCCCAGCCCTGGCCTCCATCATAAGATCTCCAAATTTCCCCTCATCTGCAAGCAGCACAACTGGCTTTCTCAGTAACAGCTGAAAATGGAAATGCCCTCATTGACTTCATCAAAAATACAGGCAAGCAAACCACAAAAGGGGTTGTAAATTAAAAATTCAACAGAAAAAGGTTCGATTCATTTATTCTTTCATTCACTCAGTGAATCATAACTGAATGCTTCCTGTGTTCCAGGAGCCTTGCTAGGTGCTGGGGACTCCCAGCAAGGAACAAGATGGACATGGTACCTCTCCCCTGGGGCTTATAGTTTACCCTTAAAAGAGGACAGAGTCCGTAAAGGAAAGACTCTCCGCTGCAAATTCCAACCCTGTTAGTTCCATGATGCAAAAACAGAAAAGAGCACCTTCAGAGATGAATGTGAGGGGTGAACTTTGCAGTAACTTAGTCATTAAGCAACTGGCTTCTGTTAAGAACAGTTCAGGAGGGCAGGATGGAGGAAATGTCTTCAGACTTTCCAGTGGAATATTCTTGGAATACAAAGTTGCTGTTTCTGCAATAAAAAATCAAATGTGAAAAAATAAAATAAAATAAAAGGTAGCAACAGCACCTTGCTCTGGGCCCATTTCCCAAGCCCAGTAAAAAGTGACGCTTCTGGGGTCCTTGCAGCTTCAGATGTCGCCAGGGAAAGGCGGATGTCTTAGTCTGCTTTTCCAGACAAATATACAAGTAGCCTTCTGCTATAAACAAATGAAAAAAATCAAAGCCAGAAATAAAAGCCTGGTGACAGAATGCCAGCAACCTTCAGAAGGGGACCTTCAGAATAAGTTCGGGTTAATGCTCAGCATCTCTGAACATAATAAGCACTATCAAGTCTACATTGACTATTTCATAGCAAGGACAGCGTTGATGCCAATTATTTTTTGCCCTAGTCAAGAGAGCTTGTCATCCTTCTCCGAACAATTATCTCTAGGTGCATAATAGTTAAAAGCTAAATTCTTCCCCCAATTCAGCTCGGGAAAAGTGCTGCTCACAGCAATTTTACATCATTCCATTAGATGAGATTAATTTTTAAATGTGTTATTTTAACAATTATGCCAAGTTCCATGTAATTAATATTCCAACTTACTTTACAAAAAATTACAAAATCCCCTAAAGAAAATAATTAGTCATCAGGCATGAAGGAGACTTCTCTATGGCCAACAGCACATAAAACAGAAAGTTCATCTCATCATGGGCTGGTATCAAAGCCTTTCTCATACGGCCTTCAGTGCCTAGCCAACAGTGTATAGAGCTGACATTGGCAAGTTACCCCAAACTTTACTTAACATATTAACGCACTTACTGGTTTAAACTCTTTGAGGGTAAAATGATGAATGATGAAAGCTTTAGCAATTAAAAAGCTCTTTTCATTTGTATGAGAGGCAAGCTACACACATATAATTAATTGTTTGCTCCTTCCATGTCCCCAGCTGGAAATTAGAGTACTGGCTTATTTCTTGAGGCTACTTCTTATGTTTATTAAAGAAATGTATATAGGCATCCTCATCCCTGTTTTCCCTCTTTTCTTTCAGGGTTTTGTGTATTCTTATAATCTACTTTAAATCCCTTCTAGAAAAAGGGCAGGTATAGATAAGTAATAGTCACATAGGACATTAGCTGCCATAACAGAAATAAAAAACATGTTTTCCTGGCCACTCTCCTCTGAGTATTGGCAGTGGCTGCCTAGTGTCAGAACAGAGAGTTGCAAGGATTCTAAGCCAATATACACACAGCCTCAGCAAGAAAGAATGCAATGGTTGATTGGTGATGTCTGCCCCAGAAAGAACAATAGGTTAAGAACCCAGGTACCATGTATTTGCCATCTCCACCCTTTGATAAATCACTAAAAATTAGGGAAATGCACACAGATTCATGAACAAAATATAATGTGAATTGTTTCCAGGATGCAGGTAAACGAGGAAAAAATGTTTTCTATCGTTGAAAACCTTAAGCAAAACTGGACTAAAACATCAAAATTTAGAGGAAACAACACTGAACTAAGTCAGAAAACCCAAATTCTGGTCACGGTTGGGGAGCTGTAAACAAGGTCGGTTCACTGGGCTCAGTTTGTTCATCTCTAAAATAAGGGGCTGAATCTCTTAACTATTCTCCTGTGAAAGAACATAGTTCCTTTATAAGACCTTAACCTCAGCAGGTCAAGGACATGGCTACACCCTCAACATCTCCTCATATTGCTCATATGAGATTTATAATCTGTGATAAATGCATATGGATATTTTTAACCTGTAGCATTTCCAGCGCAAGAAGTTCCACATACATAATTTCTTTTCCTTAATACAACCTATTTTCCACTGCGGGGCAAGTGGGGGGTTGAAGTAGGGACTTCTAATAGCGGAACAATTCAGTGATTAAACTACCTTCATTCAAAAATTCAGAGTCATCACTTCAATGTAAGACTAGTCACATCTGAAAAGTGTCTCACTCACTCATGGTTTTGACATAGGCCTGAATCTTCCCACCATTGAACAGTCCTTGTCACTGCAGCCTACTTCGAGAACTTTACCCATGGGATACATCGACATGGCTTCCTCTTCCAAACACCTATCTGTGTAGAGCTGGAACAGTCCCACGTCTGCCTTAAAAAACTGCAGCAGACATCTGTGATTTCTTCATCTGCCCTGCATCCATTCCTTCTGGGAACGCCCTCTCTCCCAACTCCAAGGAGCCCCAATCCCTGTGTTTCAGGTGTTTTGAGCTGAGGATCCCACCCATGGATGCAATGAATCATCTCAGAGGGCACCTATCAAGTTTGGGCCAGAATCCTTTTTCAGGGCCTGACATGGACACTAGTAGGTCACCAGGTACAAGAACTATGTATACCCACAACTGCAGAGTGATGGTTTTTACCACTTGAAGAGCATCAGGCCAAGAAAGGCAAGCAGGCCTAGAGAGGGCAGGAGAGTGACATTCCTGCCACATCACCCAAGCACCCTGATCCTCCTGAGCTCAGCCTCAGACAAGTAACTCCCTGAACATTTTAGTTCCTTGAAGCAATGAAGGCCTCCCTGCCATTTTTATTTGTTTGTTTTGGCTAAACCTAGACCCAGCTGGGTTTCTGTCACTGGCAGCCCAGAGTTTTGGGGAAAGGCCTTATAGGCTAAATGTATGTATTCAAGGTTCAAGTTCTTTCTTTAGTACCCCATGAAAAATCTCCTTACTGAATTCCAAATGCAGTGCAGCTCCCAGGGTTCCATTGCAAACCAAGGAATACTAAAACACCCTTACAGAGAAATTCAAAGAAAAAAATTCTGCACACCAGAAAAACTCTCAAGGTTTATCTCTTATCCAAGACCTAAGGGGAAAAGAACCACAGAAAAGAGGAAAAGGACCGGGCGTGATGGTTCACGCCTGTAATCCCAGCACTTCGGGAGGCCGAGGAGGGTGGATCATGAGGTCAGCAGTTCAAGACCAGCCTGGCCAAGCTCGTGAAACCCTGTCTCTATTAAAAATACAAAAATTAGCCTGGTGCAGTGGCATGTACCTGTAATCCCAGCTACTCAGGAGGTTGAGGCAGGAGAATCGCTTGAACCAGGGAGAGGGAGGTTGCAGTGAGCTGAGATCACGCCAGTGCACTCTAGCTTAGGCAACAGAGCAAGACTTCATCTCAAAAAAAAAAGAAAAAAGAAAAAGAAAAAGAAAAAAGAAAAAAAGAAAAGAGGAAAATGACAACGGATTATTGGAAGTGGCACAACCCTGCATCCAGTTAAATGACCAACGATTCTAACAAAAATTATTCAAAGAGGCAGCACAGTATAACAAAAAAAAAAGTTTCCAAAATCATTCCTAAAGAGTGTGTGTGTGTGTGTGTGTGTGTGTATTCTAATTCCCTATCAACATTAAAAAAACCCATACACACATGCATGCCACAACATACAGCACCCAAACAAAAGGAACTTGTTAGTAAACAAATCAACCGTTTCCAGATTCATGAGTCTAACTGTTTCTGCTAGTTTTCAATGACAGTTTAGTTTTTCCTTTTGCAGCTGTCCTAGGGTCTCTGCCACAGGCCTGCCTGCTGAAAGAAACCATGAATATAAAACTCTGCAGAGCATGTTAAGAACAATCTCCCTCGGCAACTAAAGTAATTAGAAAGTCATCTAACAAACGGTATTCTAGTGATGCCCATCCATCTGTGACAGAGGAACAGACAATACAAGAACGTAACGTTAGCAGCTACACATTTAGACACCTCCTGGGGGCCACAGATTCCTCTGTGAACTGGATGAAAGCTAGGAAGCCTTCTCCAGACATACAGGCACATTCCACAACATACTGCATATCATTTTAAGGGGCTCATTAGCGTTGCGCTCCATACTTAGTCTCCAGGTTAAACACACCTGAGTTAGAATGTTTAATAAGTCATTACCTGAGCATTATGAATCCCTAAAGATTTCAAAGGACTAAAAAAGAGCTTACAGAAAAATTCTGAAACTTCCAACTCTATAACCCCATGCAGAATCAAGAACATAAAAAGAATTAAAAACTTACTTTTGCTTTCTGTATTTATAGAATATAAGAAAACTTGGCTTTCTATATATTAGCTCCATGTATTACATCTCCCTTACCTTGTTTGACCATTTATATGCTTGAAGGAGCTGACTATAGAGAGGAGTTTTGTCCTGCACAGGATCTAGGCTTAACAGCCCACTGTTATGAAGAGGATGGTTCTCAGATGGCTTGCCTACCAGATTGCTCAGACGTTCCAGCTCACTGAAAAGCAAAGAGATAAGGCAAATAAACCTAAGCCCATTTGCACTCCAGAGTGAAGCCAGCCCCCAGGATCAAAAACTGTGCTTCAAACCATCCATCAGAAGTCCTTTAAGAATACTTTTTGAAAGGTTAAAAAAACATTTAGAACAACAACAACAAAAAAAGACCCTAAATGAGAGTTTATCTGACTTTAATAAAACAGAGCTCCCTGGTGCCATTCCAAAGGAGATAAAAAAGGTAAGGGCACTAGAATCAATAAGACTCCCACAATCAGAATGTAACAACTCAAATTCATCTCTGCAGTGGGGAGGAGACTTTCCGGAATTTTGAAATGTGGGCTAACATTGCCTCTCACTAAGAGTTTCCAGACCCACGTGCAGATCATTACACTTGGCAGAATAGCAAGTACCTGAATAAATGATGATTATTTATCATTCACATAGGGATAGATTTGCACATGATGCTTCACAGATGGTAAAACTTAACAAAACAAAGAAGAGATAAAATAAACAAATGGAATGGGAAGACATCACCGAGGGGGCTGTGTCAAACACACACTCTTCAGTCTAGCAGGAAAACCCTGGAGAAGCTTGGGAAAGCGAGCCAACAAGAGCACATTCCAGGAGTATATTCTGAGGGGCCAGTCCCAAACTGCCAACAAAAGACTCTCTAGGAACAGCTTCTCATGCCACATTCATTTTGGAATCATCAGCCACCTTCTTCTTCTTGGCACTACTGTACCAAGATTTAAGAAGGCAAAAGGATAATGTCAGCACTCTTAAAGTTTCTATTTAAAATGGTGCAGGGTATAATATCCTGAACATCACAAAGGGAAGAAATTCAGAGAGAAAATGGGAAAAAAATAGAAGCCAGGGAGGAATAACCAGTGCATCCCCTGAAGCAGGGAAAGTATTAACTGGTGCTCGGGCGCTGTGCCAGAGAATAGCAAGTGGGTGTGGGAGTTGAGGAGGGGTGTGTGATTTATGGCAACTACTTAGGGGGAAAACGAAAAGGCACCCATCATTTGGCCACTGCCGCCTCCTCCTCCTCCTCCTCCTCCTCCTCCAGCCCACCTCCTCTTTCCATCTGGTTACTAAGGAGACCAAGTTGAAAAAACAAAAATCCAACCAGTCCAGAAATCAAAGAATGACTAGCTCACCAAATGCTTTCCCCTTCTCAGGTCAATTCTGAGAAGTGAAAGGCAAAAATCCTGAAATTCTAATCTTCCTGGGAGGGACTGACTCTCTTATAAAAGGGAAGGCAAGTTCAGGACCTTAGCAATCAAGAAGTGCCTACTATGTGCCAGGCCCCTGACAAACATCCTCTCATTTAATTCTTACAACACTTATAAAGTATAAGTGAAGAAGGTGCTTTGTAAGAAAGAGGAGGAAAAGTTGAATCCTTAACCCTAAAAGACTACAAATTAAGAAGCAGGGGTGTTAAGCATAAGTAATTAAACTGGTTAAGAGATTAGAGATTAGGTCTCTACTGCTGAAGGAACTGAACGGGAGAAGTGAGAGCGGGAGTGAGGAAACTGATCAGGTGGTTTGGGAGAGCGCAGGGGAAGAAAGGAAGATATAGCTCAAGGTCTCGCCTGTTTCGTCGTGGTTGGGGTGGGTGGTGGTGGGACTGATGAAGCCCAAGTTCAGAGCCGGGGAACTGGGGCTAATCAGATTGGGTGCACTTGGGTTTGGGGCCGATTGATCACGTCCTGGTCTGGACTGTCGCTACATTCTGATCAGACGTGATGGGGCACAGAGGGCCTACAGGTGAGAAACCTGCCAAGCGCAGAGAAGTGGAAGTTCATGGGGAGAGCATGCCTGCTCGTCAGGAATGGAACCGCCACAGAAGAGGTCGACGATGGCGGGAGATAGACAGGACCAGGGGGCCAGCAGAAGCGAGACGAGAAAGCGAGATAGTGGCAAGGTGTCCCTGAGGGGCAGGCAGAGGTTTGGGGAGGACGAAGAGAAAGAACAGGGATAAAGCGAAATGGAGAACAGCCCCTGCCTGGGAAGACTCGAGCGACGTAGGGGCAGGGTCGGAGAGGGGCCGGTCCCCGACCCCGGCCCCTTCAGCCGGTACCTACTTGAGGTCCCGGTTGACCGAATGTAAGTTGTCCTGGAAGTGCGCAATGAAGGCCTTCTCCCGGCCCTCCAGCGTCTCCTTGTTCCGCATCCCATCCTTCAGGCAGTCGAACACCCTGCTCACGCTGGAGCGCAGCGCCTGGATGGCACTGATGGCCTGGGAAAAGGCCTCCAGATTCACACTGACATTTATCACGTCCGCCATGTTGCCGCCGCCACAGCAGCTCTCCAAAGCCGGCTTCGCCTGCAAAAAGCCGCGCTCGCTGATGACGTATATCCAAAGACCTCTGGGAAATGTAGTTCGCGCGGGGCTGCCCAGAAAGCACTTTCGAAAAAGGGTTTCCCCTTGAACTAAACAAATGCGTGGGCAGGAAAGTGATTTTTCTCTACTTGGGGAAGTCAGGTTGTACTCTCGGTTTGCTTAATGTTGACAAAGAAATACAGAAAGTTCCCGCATTTCCCCAAACTTGCACTCTGGGGGATCGTAGGGAAAAGAATTGCTCAGAGCAATAGTGTAAAACGGAAAGGAGCGTAGCCCATTGAATAAAATGAGTCCATATTCATAAATAAAGGGGGTAGAAGGGAAGTTTATTCCCTACAGTAGAATGCCAACTCATAAATGCAGAAAGAGAATGGAATTAGAAAATTGCCATTTGGCAACTATTAGAATAATTGATTCCGATAGAAATCGATGGATACTAAAGCTAGTGGGTGAAAGTGTCAGAAAAATAACAGGTTTTTTAGGTAGTCTCAAAGCAGGAAGTAGATGATGAGTGTGACCTTCAATTCACCTTCTCAACCCAAGACAAGAGTCCTCCTTGGTTAACTAGCGTCAATAACAAGAACCAGTTGTAGGAAAGCTGTAGGGAGGAAGATTTCAGCCTAATATTGCAAAGGACTTTAAAAACTACAGACTTAGAACGATTTTGTGGCTGGATGGTGGTGATGACTATACAATAATGTGATTGTACTTAATGCCACAGAACTGGACATGTAAAAACAGTGAAAATGGTTGATTTATGTTATGTATATTTTACCAAAATTTTTAAACAATTCATTAATGTAAAAATAAGGAGGATGGATAGTGACTTAATAGTGACTTCACAGTGGAGAAGCATGGCAGACACCAGCTTAACCAGAAGGCCAAGGACAGTATCACCAGTGACGAGATGTGTTGTGCACCGCCTGATACAATGCACTGGAAACAGCACAACGTGACCACTGTGATATTCTTGCCAACAGTGCATAACCTTAATCTAATCAGGACATCAGGAGAACTCAAACTGGAAAACGTGACAAAATAACTGACTGCCCTGTACTTTTTCAAGAAATGTCTGGGTCAGGCCAGATGTGGTGGCCCACCTGTAATCCCAGCACTTTGGGAGACTGAGGCAAGTGGATCATTTGAGGTCAGGAGTTCGAGACCAGCCTGTACAACATGGAGAAATCCTATCTCTACTAGAAATACAAAAAAAATTAGCTGGGCATGGAGGCAGGCGCCCATAATCCCAGCTACTCGGGAGACCGAAGCAGGAGAATTGCTTGAACCTAGGAGATGGAGGTTGCAGTGAGCCAAGATCACGTCATTGCACTTCAGCCTGGGCAACAAGAGCCAGACTCAGTCTCAAAAAGAAAATACATATATATAGATCTGTGTCATGGAGACAAAAAAGACTGAGAAATTGTTCCAGATTAACGGAAACCAAAGAGATGTGAAAACTGAGTGCAATGTATAATCTAGGATTTTTCTTTTGCTGATATGATTGGGACAATTGGTAAAATCTGAGTCAAATCTGTAGATGAGTTAATAGTATTTTATCAGCGACTGTATTGGTCTGTTCTTGAACTGCTGTGAAGAAATACCTGAGACTAGGTAGTTTATAAAGGAAAGAGGTTTAATTGGCTCAGGGTTCTGCAGGCTGTACAGGTACCATGGCTGGAGAGTCCCCAGGAAACTTTCAATTATGGTGGAAGGTGAGGGGAAGCAGGCACATCTTACATGGCTGGAGAGTAAAGGAGGATGTGCTGCACACTTTTAAGCAACCAGATCTCGTGAGAACTCACTCAGCATCAAGAGAACAGCAAGGGCGAAATCCGCCCCCATGATTTAATCACCTCCCATCAGGCTCCTTTTCCGACATTAGGGACTACAATTTGACATGAGATTTGGGTGGAGACACAGAAGCAAACCATATCATTGATAGTTTCATGATTTTGTTCCTTGCACTGTGGTTATTGAAGAGGATGTCTTTGTTTTGGGGAAATACACCCTGAAGGGAAAAAAGAACATCATTATGTCTCCATGAAAAAGAAAATAAAATGAATATGTTTCTTTAGAGAGAGAAGGAAAAAGCAGATGTGGTAAAATGTCAACAGTCATGGAATCTGGATGAAAGATATACAGGAATTCTTTGTATTATTCTTGCCAGCATGAAATTATGTCAAAATAAGTTGTTTTAAATGGCCATCCATAAGAGGCAGGGAAACTCTAAACCACCATCCAGATGGTAAGAAAAATCTTCAGTTCAGCCAGGCTGTGCTGACAGTGGTTTTGAAATTGGGTAGTTCACCTCGGTTCTACTTCCTTAATAATTCCCTACTTCTGGGCCAGGCGCAGTGGCTCATGCCTATGATCCCAGCACTTTGGAGGCTGAGGCAGGTGGATCACTTGAGGTCAAGAGTTCGAGACCAGCCTGGCTAACATGGTGAAACCCTGTCTCTACTAAAACATACAAAATTTAGCTGGGTGTGGTGGTGCACGCCTGTAATCCCAGCTACTTGGAAGGCTGAGGCAGGAGAATCGCTTGAACCCAGGAGGCAGAAGTTGCAGTGAGCTGAGATCGTGCCACTGCACTCCAGCCTGGTCGACAGAGTGAGACTCCGTCTCAAAAATCTTCCCACTTCCTCCCAACCTGACTGCACCACCTCGGTTCAAATCCTCTAGTTCTAGAAACACAAAGATGAATTCTGCTAAGAAACTGGGCCCTAGCAAACCAACTATTAAACACTGTTTAAATTAATTAATTGTCTCTTGCAAGAAAACTGTTTTGTCTTGAGATTACATAGTTGCTTCCATTTCCTGACATCTAGCTCGTGCTGTCATTTATAGCTTTTCTTTTGTTTTGAGATGGAGTCCCATTCTATCACCCAGGCTAGAGTGCAGTGGTACAATCTTGGCTCATTGCAACCTCTGCCTCCCAGTTCAAGTGATTCTCCTGCCTCAGCCTCCTGAGTAGCTGGGACTACAGACACACACCACCATGCCCAACTAATTTTGTTTTTGTATTTTTAATAGAGACAGGGTTTCACCGTGTTAGCCAGGATGGCCTGGGTCTCTTAACCTCATGATCCACCCACCTCAGCCTCCCAAAGCGCTGGGATTATAGGCATGAGCCACTGTGCCCAGCCCATTTGTAACTTTTCTTAAGGGAAAGGATGAAGATAACAGGAAACTTCTAGCTGTGGAAATTAAACAAGTTATTGAACCACCTTGAACCTGTTTTCTTGTCTGTAAAATAGGGCTGGTAATAATACCCATCTTCAGAAAATAGCTGTGAGGTTTCGTTACACCTTCCAGGTAAAGCTTTTGAAATAATGCTTGGTATATAATAAACACTCAGAAAAGCATGGCTGGAGAAGATGCCTCTGACTTATACTTCTCGTCCCACTGAGAATTATTTACATAGACTCAAGCAAGGATTAGCAATGGGATTATTAGTTCAAATTGTCTCTAATGGCATGACCTCATTGCTAACAGCTTGTCAATGAATTGCATCCTGTAATTCACTATATTACGTGGCTTTTTTTTTTTTTAGATAAGTCTTGCTCTGTTGCCCAGGGTAGAGTACAGTGGCACGATCTCAGCTCACTGCAACCTCCACCTCCTAGGTTCAAGCAATTCTCCTGCTCAGCCTTGGGAGTAATTGGGATTACAGGGACATGCCACCATGCCCAGCTAGTTTTTGTATTTTTAGTGGAGATGGGATTTCACCATGTTAGCCAGGCTAATCTCGAACTCCCAACCTCAGGTGATCTGCCCGCCTCTACCTCCCAAAGTGCTGGGATTATATTCATGAGCCACCGCACCTGATCTTGGTAGCCTTTTTATTGCCTTTGGAATGTAAGGGTGAGGCTTTTTCCTAAGGTTTTGGTAGAAAATACTTTTTGACTATACAAAAGTAAAGGAAGTAAAACTAAAGAAAAATATCTTTGTTCATTGCCTTGTTTGGTTTTGACTTTGGTTTGTTCATTCTTTCTGGGGAAAGAGTAGAGGAGTCAAATTCTATTATCTTGGTTACTTACCTTTTGGGGGTTCCCAAAGGATTAGAAAATGTGACGCATGCTGTATACTTTGTCCTCAGGGAAAAAAAAAAAGGACCAATCTATTTCTAACCTCACCCACATGTGCCCACAAACATGAGATTTTACCTACACTTTCAGGGGGTTCATAGCACCTCCCCCCAAGCCCACACATGGACCTCTCATTAAGGATCATACCGTAGAACAAACACCATTAGGTCTCCAATACCTGGGACCCAATAAGCACTCAGAATAAGTTGGTGGAAGGCATTAATCAATGCAATATGTTATATTTGCTTTCTTGGATCCTCTCTTCAAATTATTCCATCTCTTTGTATATGCAGATCCCATCTCTCCCTCATGCTCAGTCTCCTGCCCGCTCCCCACTCCCCCACACATACAATAAGATTTTTCTTTGTCTCACTCTCTGATTCAGTGGTTTAGGCTCTGATTGCTGCAATAAAGTACAAATAGACTTCGCTCCCACAACCATTAGTTTTCAGGATTTCTCTGTGGCTCCCCTCTTCTGGGAAACTCAGAAATTGATCAGTGGAAATACACATTTCCCCTGAACCTAGTAAGGAGTCTTTCATCACGTCAATAGAAAACTTTTCATTTTGGAAAAGAATGGACAGAGTTTCTCTAAGGGGCTGTAAATTCTTGGGAATGTTGGCATTTACATGCCTGCATCTGTGTGTGTTTTGGGGATATAAATTACATTAAAGGAGTTCATTTTGAGCAATATCAGATTTTAATTATTATGATCTTATGTTTGGGTAAAAGGCAATGCCCTGCTGTTAATATCTCCCAAAATGAACAAGCCATTAGCTTGGTGCTATTAGCTCAGGAGTATTAGAATGAGCAATCAAAATTAAAGTTGTCAGTATTTAATTAAAATATGCTGCAACTCCCATCATATTCAGAGAGCGTGTGGTTTAAGCATTCA